TTATTCCCATTTACCAATGAAAAAAATTGAGGTTCTAGAACGGTAACAGGTCCAAGATCACAAAGGTAGAAAGTAGTAGAGAAATGAACACAACACAACCAAATGCATAAAATTCCAATGTTATAAACCATATTTACTCTTATAGATTTAGCTATTTATAATGCTTTACTATTATAAATAAAGCTATGTTATCTTTTTTCTATAATTTTCTTTTTTTCTTAGTATTTTATCATTAGGATAAATTTTCCAGAATCAATATTATTCTGTCGAGGAATGTGAGCTATTTTAAGGCTCCTGATGCATATGGTAAAAGTGTTTTCCCAAAGGGTTGAACTAATTTCCACAGTTATCAGTGATGATAGTGCCTGTTTCATAATAACTTCACGTACTGTGGTTTACTTTCTTCAATCTTTGGGAATTGTTGCTGTAACTTTATATTTCTTTTATTACCAGCAATGTTGAACATTTCTTTATATCTGTGCATCAGTTTCATTTCTTCTTTTGTGAACAGTCTGACGTCATCTTGAAAATTAAGTTAAGAACTGTTCTAAACCTCAGCTGATACTGTAAATACATTTAAAACATGAGGGTTTCCTTAACAGCAAACATCTGACTTATTGATACTAAAATCTACCATTAAATCTCACAAGAAATAGAAGTATAACTTATCTTTATTATACAATAGAAGGATAATTCTTATGTTAGTTTTTAAAAGGCATGAAATAATCTTTCATTCTTTTTCATTCTTAAGTACTTTCTTAACTTATAACTAAATTTAATTGGTTTAGGTAAGTTGGTTGTTATCTATCATTCCTGTTGATGACTACATAAATACACAAATAAGAGAAAATATTTCTTAGGTATCACAAAAGGATATAATAAGGGTTTTCTAACAATAAAGAAGCCATTCGGGCTTCTTTAATCATAGGACGGGCCATTAGTGTTCGTCTCCTCCAGTAATACTAAGGAAAGAAAAGATGACATACTTAAAAGAATATAAAGAATATATAATCAAATCTGTTACGGAGAATATGTTAACAAATTATATAGAGATTAAGGCATTATGAGAAAGTCTTACATGGTCTCCTGTTCCAGCAAGATGAATGCAGACAGGTCTGTATTTGCCATTCCATTCTTTAGGCACAATAAATTGGAACCTATTTTAAAAAAAAAAACACGCATCACTGAAATTCTCTTTAAAAGGCTTTTAATTCTTAAAAATTTTATAATTAAAATATCCAGGAGAAAAGATAATTCAGAATTTTGACATTCAAATTTTACATAATGAATACTTATATTTGTCCCAAAATTACCAACATCTTCTAAATTTCTTTTTTTTCTTTTTTGATTAGTAGACCTGGGCCAGGTTTGAACCCACCAGCCCCGGTACATGTGGCTGGTGCCCCAACCACTGAGCTACGGGTGCCCACCCCTAAATTTGTTTTCTACTAGGATATTAAAATATTAAATTCAACATAAACACAAATTTATTGTGATTATTCTTTTGGATTTTTTTGTTTGTTTGTTTGGGGACAGAATCTCACTCTGTTGCCCCAGGCTAAAGTGCCCTGGCTTCAGCCTACCTCATAGCTACCTCAAACTCCTGGGTTCAAGTGATCCTCCTGCCTCAATCTCTCATGTAGCTGTGACTACAGATTAAATCAAATTAATCATATTTAATTTATTTTAAATGTTAATTTTACATTTAATTTTTAAATTCAATGTATATATGTTTAAAATTACATGAGCCTATTAATTTGGAAATACTGATCTTTCCATACTCTGAAATAAACAACTATTTTTAAAAAAAATAAGAGAAAGCTTAGTAGTAAGCATGAAATCAGAACATATGAATTATCTACAACTGTTACTTTACAGAATATCTCCTTTCTTTGGTATAATTTAGAATGCAGAATAAAAGTAACACTTTTGAGAACTTAATGCTGAATACAAGGATAACTAATTTTGTTATAAATGCACACACACATACACATGCACATATCATACACTCATATTTCTAAAAATAGAGTACAATTTCATGAAAACCATGAGCATTTTATTAGCAAGTATGCATAATATAAAATGAGTACCAACATTTCTGAGAAATGCAAGTCAATTATCAAATTAAAAAATATTTTCACCTGGGCAACACCTGTGGCTCAGTGAGTAGGGCACCAGCCCCATATATCAAGGGTGGTGGGTTTAAACCCAGCCCCGGCCAAACTGCAACAAAAAAATAGCTGGGCGTTGTAGCAGGTGCCTGTAGTCCCAGCTAAGTGGGAAGCTGAGGTAAGAGAATTGCCTAAGCCCAGGAGTTGGAGGTTGCTGTGAACTGTGACACCACAGTACTCTACGGAGGGTTAATAAGTGAAACTCTGTTCCCCCCCCAAAATATATATATTTCCACCTAACACTGAAAAAAATGAAATCATTACAGACTTATAAACTATCTCGGTAACAATATCAATATTTAACCAGAAGATAAATATTTTAAAATATTTGTTAACTTTTATTAGAAAGAATTCAATCTTTGGTAAATTTTAATACTAAATTATGCCAAATTAACATAAAATTATTAAAAGTTCCTCAAATTAATGTTACCATTTAAAATATTATAGTTCTATTATGTTAAGTGAAATAAGCCAGGCACAAATGGAAAAATCTCACATGTTCTCACATATTTGGAAGCTAGATATTAAAAATAATTGATCTCATGTAGAAAGAAAGTAGAATGATAATTACTAGAGGCTGGGAAGGGTAGAGGGATAAAGTGGGGATGGTTAATGGATTCAAAAATAGATACAATGAACAATACTTAATAGCATAACAAAGTGATGATAATCAACAATGAGTGAAGGTATACTTTAAAATAACTAAGGGAGTGCAATTGGAATGTTACTAACACAAAGAAATGATAAATACCTAAGGTGACAGATACCCCTAATTACCCTGATCTGACTAATTTACATTGTATGCCTGTATCAAAACATTACATGTACCCTATAAAGACATACAAGTATTATATATCCTAATTTAAAATTTTCAATTTAATTTTATATTTATTTATTTATTTTTGAGACAGAGTCTGTAGTCCCAGGCTAGAGTGCCCTGGCCTCAGTCTAGTTTACAGCAACCTCAAATTCCTAGTTCAAGTAAGTAGCTGGGAGTATAGGAGCCCACCACCTCACCTGGCTAATTTTTCTTTTTATTTATTTATTTATTTAGAGACAGAGTTTTACTTTGTTGCCCTTAGTAGTGCCACAGCATCATAGCTCACAGCAACCTCAAACTCTTGGGCTCAAGCGATTTTCTTGCCTCAGCCTCCCTAGTCGCTGGGACTACAGGCACCTGCAATAACACCCGGCTATTTTTAAAGGTGGGGTCTCAGTCTGGCTCAGGCTGGTCTCGAACCCATAAGCTCAGGGCAATCCACCTGCCTCAGCCTCCCAGAATGCTAGGATTACCGTGTGAGCCATCATGTCTGGCCTCATTTTTATAAATTTACTAGAGATGGGGTCTCAATCTTGTTCAGGCTGTCTTGAGCTCACGGAATCCTCCTATTCCAGCCTCCCAAAGTGCTAGGATTATAACCATGAGTCACTGCCTCTACCCTTAAATATTTTAAATAAAAACTAAATTTAAATAATTAAAGTTTATATGGAATTTTGACACCAGAACACCTGCAATATGGGATGTCTACCATGTACATGACAATTTATGACTTCACATTACATAGGAAAATTTGTATTTTGTGATCTATATACGGTATTAAAACATTAGGGAAGAGGGGGAAGTGGTATGTTCCCACTTACTGGGCACAATGTAGGGGTGTGTGGCACATGTTTTGGGTGCAGGACACAACTACAAGATGGACTATACCTAACGAATTCTAATATTGTGACCTGCTTGTTTGTATCCTCCCATTAACCTGAAATAAAATAGAATAAAATAAAAAACATTAAGGAAACTGGTAGGAGGAGGGGAGGGCATTTGGCAGGATCTCACCTAATGTGCACAATGTAAGGTTGTCCTCTGGATGAAGGGCTCAACTACAACTTGAATCTTATCTTATAATTGAAAACAATACAACTTAAAAATTTGTACCCTCGTATTATTTGAAATTAAAATTTAAAAAATAGGCT